TTCTCTGGAGACATTCAGGGCCAACCTGGTCTTGCAGATGTGACGCTCATCCTGTGTGACCTAGTTTAGGTGATCCTGCTCTGGCAGGGGGGTTGGACTGGATGATCTTTTGAGGTCCCTTCCAACTCCTGAGATTCTGTGATTCTGTGATAAAAGTAATGCTGATATGCCCAGTTACAGTAATGTTACTGCACAGTGTTTTGAGAGAGTGCTCTGCAGAATAGGATTGTGGACAGAAGGTAGGAGAGAGGCTAAAATGCTTCTCTCTAACCAGACTGTGCTTAGAAAACTCACACATCAACCATGTTCGTTCTGATCTGAGCATCAGTGAAGTGCTGCATCTTAATGTCTTGTAAACTGAAAAATGCAGAAAAGAAGGAAGAATGAAACAAAGAAAATTGAATAGTGGTTGGTAGCTGATCACTGCTATAGCTCTGCTGGTATAGACTTCAGCATACACAGGTACTTGAGCGGTGGTACTGGTTGAGGCCAGCATTGTCACTGTTTGTTTATGCCAGATCGAAGTTGCAATCAGTACATAAAATTTTTAAATGCCTTCTGTTAGACAGATGTGGACTTGCAGTGTTTTGAGCCAAAAAATAATCAAACTCTAACATTAATATAATTTATTGCTGTATATTCCAGTTAATACATTACAATCAAATACAACTCTATGTTGTGGGAAATGCATGTCTCATTTATGTGAAGCAAGCTGTAGCATAACATCCAGAATTCTGTAATCAATAAATCCCATATTTTGTTAGTGAAAGGCATTTAAATATTTAGGCAAAATGGGCTTTCCTTTTTTGCCTTTTCTGTAGCATAATGTAATTTTAAACCAGATCTTTTACTTTTTTTCTTGCCCCTCAAACTGAGGAGTTAACTAATCACAGTTATACCAAGACCAAAACTGATCACTGAGCTTCAGTGTTCTCATTACAAAAACCTGTCCTGTTGGTGGTGCTAACAGACCCAAGCAAGAATACAAGGTCTGTTGCACTGGACACTGTCTAAGGACAGCCAAAGAGTCCTTGTTGTAATTTGACAAATTTAGCCTAAACTGTGTTGGTTACTAACAACTCACCTGAGATTTTTAAAACTCTTGAGTTACACTACCTGAAAACTGCATAGAATTGGCCATTGGCAAAAAGAAACCCAAAATTCGTTGTGTGGTAAAATTTTGGTTCTGTCTTCTGTAGCTTACAGCAGTTGCATGACACAGTTTGTAGAGGCACAAACTCTTCTGCCTTTTTAGCTGATGGTAGCATCACATAAGGTAATGGCAGTAGCTTGAAGTCCAGTGTCTGTATAGAGGCCAAACTCCTACCTTGATCTCTGTGCAGTCCCTCCATCACCACCCATACGCACTACAGGAAGGCATGGGGCCTTCATGTTTTGTCACAGACCATAATCTAAGGGGTGAAATGACTTCTCTGTTTCGTCTTTTTGACACAAGACAGAAAGTGGGAGTATAGGAAGTTCTCAAGTGGAGCATTAAGGAGTAAGAATTTCTTAATGTCTTAATGAAACTGGAGGTGGAAGCTGGTGGTGATCTCTAGTTATCTTGATGTCCTGTTATTTTTGTTAACAAGCTTCTTTTCATGCTGATTAAATGGTCTTTTCTGCTTTTTTAGACACATTGGACATGTTGGTTGGGACCCAAACACAGGCTTTGATGTAAGTTATTTCATAAGTTATTGAAGACACTGAATGATTAAATGCTTTAGAGGCTTTTTAATGGAAGTTGTAAATATTGGCATTAAATGAAAAGTTAATTGTACATCAATATAGTTAAAAATTGTGATTTTATGATATGATTCAAACATACAGGGATGTTGGAGTAGAAGGGAATAGAGATCTGGGATTGAGGGGAAAACATGCAAAATTTAAGTTTTTGTGCAAGGTACTTATGTCTCCCAGAATAGCCCTTTCTGGCTGAAAAGTCAACCCAGAGACATGTCCTCAGCTTTGCTGTTCCTTTTAACTCCATAGGTTGTGGTGGTGGTTTTCCCAATGCAAGTGATATTTTAAAAAATTCTTCTATTTCAAGCTGCTTAAAAATAATGTATCTTACTTGCAGGTAAACAACTTAGACCCAGAACTGAAAAATCTGTTTGATCTGTGTGGAATTTCAGAGGCTCAGCTGAAAGACAAAGAAACTTCAAAGGTCATCTATGATTTCATTGAAAAAACAGGAGGTGTGGAAGCTGTTAAAAATGAACTGCGCAGACAAGGTGGGATTCCTTTTATTTCCACATGAAAACATGAAAAAAGCAGGATGCTTTTTGCCTTAAGAATTAGAGTAGAAGCTGTTGATGAAAAGCAGTTTTTGATTCTCTTCTCTGGACTTCATGTCATTGCAGTTGCATTGAATTTCATAATGTTTCTGTACACCATATGCTATGTAAAAATGTTTGTTCTTGACCCATGAGAGTACTTGTTCCCTAAAAAGTAAAGATCTTACCTATGTCACTTCAGTAATTTGGATGCACTAAACTTAGTCTGACTGCAAAGCTGTGCAGTATGTTCCATATAGATTTTTCAGACTGTGTATGTTGCATATTTATTTATAAACTCAGTCTTACAGATAAGTTAAAATCTTAGAAGCCATATTGCTGTTGTCAGGTGTAACAGTAGTACGTGGCTGACAGGTGTATGTATGGTGCCTATGTACCCTGGCACCACTGGGTAATGAGTCTTGCAACACCTAGAGGCCTGCAAATTTTATATTATTTTTTTAAATGTGTATTTTTATAATTTGGAGTAAAAAGTACTAGTTTGGAGCAGGCTTCTGCTGCAAGAGAACTCTCAAATAAGCCATTCCCGACCTAACCTTTAAGTGTGATCTCAGCTGATGCATTATCTACGGGAACGTGTCAAATTTTCAAACGTTTGCCTGGAACACTTCTCAAGAGAAATAGGATATAAATGCCATTGAAATTATAGCACTGTGAACTAGTGGATGAATTGTTCAAGTGACTGAAGAGATACAGGTTGAGGATGCAATGACTTGTTACATTTGTTCCTTAGGTCCCCTGCGGTGGAGCGGTATGTATTTGAGCTGGCATTTGAGCATATGCTTCAAAGTATTCATGCTGCTGTGTGGTTTCTTTCCTAGATGAGAAAACTTAGTCTACATCTGACTGCAATACTAAAAGTTATCATCAAACTTCTTAGTTTAATTGCAAGCAAAATTTCAGATATTATTTTCTTTCTCAGTAAAAAATCTGTCAGCTTCTTTATATAATCTTAACTCTGTTGTTGATCCTAGACTGCTGACCATAAAATTTGGTTGAGAAGACTTGCCTTAGAGTCTTGCGATAGCTTAAAATACCTTAAAATTGGCCATTTTTCTTTATATGTTTTAACTTCAAGTTATAGCCACTTGCATGTATGCAATTGAAGGAAAAGCTGCCTCATCTTTAACATGCATGAGAATAATCTACCTTTGTGCTTTTTGATAGAGGTAGATAAAATATTCCAGTATTTCAGTGAGTTTATCCGCAGTTATGTTATTTGATGCATAGGCTTGACTGCTGTTTGAAGTGTTCTTTCTCAACTGAAACACGCTTTTCTGTGTTTCATTGCAAGAATTTCTGTGCTGATGTATTTACCCTGCTAGGATGCTGACTAGAGAGCTGCAGTCACATTGTTCTACTCCAAAAGAAGTTAATTTCTTGTTTTTCTTGCCTTTTCACTCATTTTGGTACTGTTGGTTGTGGGGTTTTTTAAGTTAAATACACAGAATCACAGAATATTAGGAGTTGGAAGGGACCACAAAAGATCATCCAGTCCAACCCCCTTGCCAGAGCAGGATCACCTAGACTAGGTCACATAGTAACGTGTCCAGGCGGGTTTTGAATGTCTCCAGAGAAGGAGACTCCACAACCTCTCTGGGCAGCCTGGTCCAGTGCTCTGTCACCCTCACAGTAAAAAAGTTTTTCCTCATGTTCAGGTTGAACCTCCTATGCTCCAGCTTGCTCCCATTGCCCCTTGTCCTGTCATTGGACATCAGAGAGAAGAGCCTGGCTCCTTCCTCCTGACACTCGCCCTTTACAAATTTATAAACATGAATGAGGTCACCTCTCAGTCTCCTCCAAGCTAAAGAGACCCAGCTCCCTCAGCCGCTCCTCATAAGGGAGATGCTCCACTCCCTCAATCATCTTTGTGGCCCTGCGCTGGACTCTCTCCAGCAGTTCCCTGTCCTTCTTGAACTGAGGGGCCCAGAACTGAACACAATATTCCAGATGCAGTCTCACCAGGGCAGAGTAGAGGGGGAGGAGAATACCATCAATAGAAGATTTTACAAACTTTTTTATTAATAGCCATACTCAGCTTAATGTGCATTTATAAAAAAACTAAGTTATCTTTTTGCTTTGCTTGTACCATCTGTTTTGGGGGGAAGGGAGAGAGGATGAGGTAATGATGTTCCCTCCTTGCTTCTCCACCCTCATTTCACTTCAGTTGAGTGCAGACAGGCCTTACAAACCTGAACTCCATTTCCACAAATTGCATGTGCCATATCTTTCTAGATAGGATGCAGATAAACCCCTTCCCCGCAGGAAAATGTAATTCTTGTGTTCAAAATGTACAGACATTACAGACTCTGGAGCATGACCATGGTGTGTATCTTTCCAGTAATACAGAAAAACTGTCTGTAGTGGTAAGTTATATGTGAAAATACTGGCCTCCAGTGGCCAAAAAGGAAACTTCAGTCATGTCAACCATGGTGGTAATCAAGAATGTTGGCAGTATATCTCTTTCAAAATATATCACCTTTGAGAGGAGGTTCTCCCCGTGTTGTTTTTCAGAAGAAAACAGAGCAGTTTGTGGAACTTAAGAACATAACACGTCATTTTAGGAAGCGTACGCTTCTCTTAAGATGAGCAGGGAAGAAGGTACTGAGGCACTAGTGTCTCCTACTTCCACAAAATCCCCTTTTTCGGAATATCCCCTCTCTATTCCAGTGCAGACAGCCTAATTCCTCAGCATGTAACAGGAAGGAGATAATAAAAGAGGTAAAGAAGTATCTTCTTGAGTATAATACCATTTTTGTTATCAAAGCATATGAAATCAAATGTGAATTTTCTTAGTTGTAAGAGCTGGATTGTTAAGTAGTTCTGTGCAGCAACAACACAACCTAAAGTACCATAAGCCATTAGATGCTTAGTGGAAGAGGAAATGAAATGGGACTATTTAAAATGTCATTAGCAGAACGAGTACAGTACATTACAAGGTTGCATCATAGAAATGATCCTGTGCACTGAGGTAGCCCTGAAGCTGTTGCCTTTCTGTGGTCTCTTCCATGAAGATACTGCTGGAAGTAATTTTCAGTAGAAGGGACTACCTGTGAGTTTATGCTTCAGTGTAATGCATTAGGAGGTTTTTTTGTAACTAGCAAATGATGCTTCAAAAAATATTTGCCTCTGAAATTCCTTAATAAAATAATGGATCACTTATAAAGTGGAAACTATATTTCACTTTAAGTGTATTTTCTAAAACTCTCTCTCTTGTCTTCTGTCATAGCTCAACAAAATTTTAGAGGATTCTTTTGAAGTTTTTCTGCATTTTGTCATAAGAAATTGAAACACTAACTTAAGATACACTTGGATTATGAAGAAAAATTACTACTGCAAGACCAAACCAAAATTAATGACCAAGCTTGTTTAGTGACTTTAATTAGTCTTTTTATGTATTGCCCTTGCTTCCTGCAGTGTTGATTCTTTTACAAAATACATGACAGACATAGGGGCTATTTCAGCTTGGTTTGCATGCATATAAGCCTACTTTATATTCAGTTTATTCAACTTAATCCAGAATTGGTAAAATTTGCACAGGCACAGAGATCCTTGCAAAAGGCAAGGCAAAGCCTTTTTTTCTTTTTCTGCTAGTCTCTGAAAGACTTACGGGTATTGAGTAGGGTGTAATTGCAAATTGGTTTGTTTCATTTCAGCTCCACCTCCACCACCACCGTGCAGAGGAGGACCCCCTCCACCTCCACCACCACCTCCCCATAGCTCAGGCCCTCCTCCTCCCCCTGCTAGGGGCCGGGGGGCACCACCTCCACCTCCTTCAAGAGCCCCCACAGCAGCACCTCCACCCCCACCTCCATCCAGACCTGGTGCCGCAGTGCCCCCACCTCCTCCAAACAGGATGTATCCTCCACCACCACCAGTGCATTCATCAGCTGCACCATCCGGCCCTCCTCCACCGCCACCACCACCGGCAAGTGGGTCATCTGTTCCTCCGCCACCTCCTCCTCCTCCACCGCCTCCTGGTCCTCCTCCACCACCAGGCCTTCCTTCAGAGGTTGATCACCAACTTCCAGTCCCTGCAGGAAACAAAGCAGCACTCTTGGATCAAATCAGAGAAGGAGCTCAGTTAAAGAAAGTAGAACAGAACAGTCGACCGGTGTCCTGCTCAGGAAGAGATGCACTGTTAGACCAGATTCGACAGGGTATACAGCTGAAATCTGTGAGTAAAAGCTATTTCTCATCTGTGTCCCCTTGGAACGTGCAAATGACTGCAGTATTGCAGTGCGAGAAGTAACTTAGGGCTCTGTTTTGGGCTGCATCATAGCTTTTAGAGTTTTTGAAGTGATGCTTTAAACAGTAGTACTGAGAAAATGCTTAGAATACATATTTGCTATAGATGAGCATTGGTGCATGAAATTATCCTTGTTTCAAACTCATTTCTCACTTTTCAGTAAAGCTTTAAGCATAAATCCTACAATGATAATACCACAGTATTGTGGCTTTGAGGAACTTTTGCGAGAGCTATGGGAGGTTGCTGGTCTCTTGAATGCCTCAGTAAAATTGTCTAAACAACTGCAGGGGATGAGTTCAGCAGCAATGATAGTCAAATGCAAACACTAGATTTATTTTTTTTTTTTCCCCATCTTAAAATGAATCTGGGCCCTGCAAATGCTGAGGCTTGTACGGAGGTGGCTGCCTGTCATACATATACATAATCCAAGAATGCAGCTGAGACTGGATTCCACCTGGCTAGAGAGCAGCCCTGTGGATAGGGACCTGGGGGTCTTGCTGAATGAAAAACTCAACATGAGCGAACAGTGTGCTGGACCTGTAAAGAAAGCCAACAGGACGCTGGGTTGCATTAAAAAAGGGCATCACCAGCAGAGACAAAGAAGTCATTATCCCTCTCAGCACTGGTCAGACTACACCTTGAGTACTGTGTCCAATTTTGGTCCCCGGTATACAAAAAAGATGTGGACACAGGTTAGAAGGGGTCCAGAGAAGGGTCATGAGGATGATCAGAGGACTGGCAGACCTGCCCTATGAAGAAAGGCTGAGAAAACTGGGCCTCTTCAGCCGTGGGAAGAGAAGGCTTAGGGGGGACCTTATTACCATGTACCAGTACACAAAGGGTGGCTACCAAGAAGATAGAGACTCTCTTTTCACAAGGAGTCACATGGAGAAGACGAGGGGTAACGGACACAAGTTCCTTCTGGAGAGATTCTGATTGAACTCCAGAAGAAATTGTTTTACCATGACATCAATCAGACATTGGAATAATCTCCCAGGGGAAGTGGTGAATTCCCCCACATTGGTCAGTTTTAAGACTCAGCGTGACAGGGTGCTGACTCATCTCATTTCAGCTATACTCTTACCTCGAGAAGTTGGACTGGATGATCCTTGTGGTCCCTTCCAACCTGGTATTCTATGATTCTGTCTCTGGAAAAGTGCCACCCGTGAGGGACACCTCTGCAGTTCCTGCTGCAGCTCAGGCTATTACTGTTACTATTTCTTCCTGATGTCACTGAATATCTTCAAAATAATTTTGCCTCCAGGGTTCTGTTGTAAAAAGTGTTGAGGGTATGTTAATATTTCTTTGCCAGTACAGATACACAGTAACAAAGTCTATTACTTTCAGAAGGGATTATCAACCCAAAGCAGACCTGGTTATCAAACTCAAGCAAGAAAAAATATTTTGTGGTATATACCAAGAATAAAATAAATAATGATATTGCAGTCACACCAGTCATGCCTATAAAACAATATTAAGAAGCTTTTCTTTAGCTGAGCATTCACTTCATGATAGTCACAGCTGAAATATTTAATCTTGACTGCAGTTCTTTTGTATGGCAAAAGAGAAAAGGTTGACTTTTTAATAAATAAAAATTTAGCTTGAGCTAAAGAAACAACCTGCAGTTTCACTCTTCCTTCTGGCTGAAAATAAACTCATTAATTTTGTAAGGAAGTTTGTCTCGAAATACAGAGGTTCTGTTTTGCTAATTGCATCTTTCTAATGTGTCATTTTTTCAAGGTATCTGACGGTCAGGAGAGTGCACCACCTACACCCGCACCCACCTCAGGAATTGTGGGTGCGTTAATGGAAGTTATGCAGAAGAGGAGCAAAGCCATTCATTCTTCAGGTGAGTCTGATAGAATTTTTCTGACCTCATGGTGTCAGGTTTTCAAGACTTAACGCTTCTATTCAACATAATATTGTTGGAAAAAACAGGGTTTTCAGCATATATTCCAATACAGAATGTGCAAGGCAGTCCCCTAGTGATGGACTGAATTAACTTCATGCTACTTCTGAATTACTGGTGTATAGTAGTTTGCAGTAATACTGAATTAAAAATCACTAACCAAGGTTGATACAGAGACTTTTTTGTTTTGTTTTGTTTTTTACAACTGACTTATCAGACATCTGATGGATAAAAACAAACCGAGTTGTCAAAAGTCTTGGAAGGAAGGTTTTTAACACTTTTCTGTTTCTAGACGCCAAAGCTCTTGCAAAGATTCATACTCTTAAAACTGTGGCTTCCAGTGTGCTTTGGATGCTACCTGCTGAATAATAGACAGCTACTGTTACTTGACTAGTCCCATACCAGTACTGAATCAGCTTCTCACACTTTAGTGCTTGGAAAAAATAAGGCTGCAAAGAGGACTTGCATTTCCCAAATAGCAGATTGTAATAAATGCGGTTCAGTAGCTGCCGTGCAGCTGTTTGGTTACATCTCTTCTGGTTAGGCTTTGATATATTTTTCTTCCAGAGCCTGTCTTGATACCAAAACTGCACTTGCAGTGTGCAGACCATTTGACTAAGTGCAATACTGTTTGTTTATCTGCTACCCTATGTAGTAATCTCCATATTTGATACTTCACATAATTTAAATGCCAAAGGGTGCTAAATAGAGCATTTTCCTAGGGAAGGAAATATTCTTGCCTAATGAGTGAGTAGTTTAATTTTAACAGGTCACAATTTTTAGATTATGATACATATAAAAATAGTGGAAGGCTGAATAAAGTTAACAACAAACATTGATGTTGAAGTTGATGTGCGTTGCACAGTTTAGAATATTCCAGTAACCATGGTGGGTTAGCTCACAAACTTTATTTAATCTGCTTGTACAGTAAACAGAAATCCTGTTATGTAGTGAACCAGTTCTTACATTTCAGAATTTAATTTGTCTTTGAAGTTCAAACCCCAATCTGGAGCAAGCCGACTGCTCTCAGTATTACTCTAAGAAAGAGTAACAGTAGTAAGTGTTAAATGAGAACTTCTGGTTGTGTCACAGCAGAAAACGGGGTACGTTTTTCCTACCCGGGGAAAGGAGTGAGAAAGGAAACAGATTTAACTTTTATCCAGTATCTATCCAAACTGAATGTCATGTCTAGCAATTCTAAAAGAGTATTACCAAGTGTATTGTCCTGACCTCCTTGAACTGATTGTTCCATTTTCAGAAAGTTGTGGGAGAAGTCAGTAATACTTTTATCATGTTAATTCAGTGAATGCAAGCGACTTGCTTTTTTGTCTTGCAGATGAAGATGAGGATGAAGATGATGAAGAAGACTTTGAGGATGATGACGAATGGGATGATTGATCATATATTATTATTATATATATATATTTTTTAAGGTGAATGATATACTAAACACTACTTTCTGTCTATGGATTCTGTAAAATTATCATGTAAATGTTCTACCAATTTGCTGTATATTTTTGTTGCCTTTTGCTTTTTTATTAATCTGTGCAATACCTCATTTAATCTGTAAAGGTTTGTCATAATCCTCTACAAAGCTACTCCCTGTTAATGTGTGCAAGTTTACACCTGGATGATCATGTACATGTGAATACTTTCCATTCCATCAATAAGGGAGTTTAAATGTAATATGTGAGACTTGACAAATACCTTAATGTAATTTAGTTATAATGCAAGAAGGAAAACACTATTTTCATACCCTACTTTTTCTGTATCTAAATTTTCTTATTAAAACCTAGTATAGCACTATGTTCTTTAAGTGATGCAGCTCTTAGTTTATTTAGCCCCTTCATTTCAAATGCAGTGCTACATGAATGTTGAAGCTGGTTTATACTATTGCATGGTTTCAAATACATCACAACATTGCAGTTCAAATCTTAGCAGTATGCTTTACATAAAACAAAATCACTACAGAAATGCACAGCTAGTTGTGAAGATTGCCTTGCCCTGACTGTAGCAATACTGACTACTATCGAACAGCAGTAGTAATCAAATACTTCAGTTAGGGAACTCTAGCTGGAGTTAAACAGGGTGGCTTTACATTGTAATAGTGGTAAAGGCATCTTTAATGCAGACAAGTTCAGTCTTTTTTTCTTTCCCAGCTCTTCCTTTCAGAATGAAGAAGTGTAAATTACTGGGGGCTATATTGGAGGGTGGCAATTGCTACAGTTTGATTTGTTTTTTAAAATCAATTTTATGTGGTTTTCAGGCTGAAGGGCTGCGTTTAATGCTTGCTTCAATAATGTTTAATTACTTTTAGAAATTTGTAGGACATTGGTGTACTAATAAAGTAAACGTAAGTGGTATTACTTTGCAGTCTTTGCGTTATGGTACACAACAAATGCTGAAACACCAATCCTACATCCATAAAGTTGAAAAGCCATTAACTCAGAGTATACACTTAGATTAAGTACTGAACTTCTGGCAATATTCTGTCTTCGTATGTTGGCTTTAAGACCAAGGGTTGTGATGAACAGCAAGAACCCGATTCACAAGAATAGTATTTGAGTAAGTGGATGGCAAATGGGATTCTCATTTCACAGCTTGCACATTTATATAAGTTGTACTTTGTAGTGCAGTAAAATTTGGCATATCTGCCAATTACAAAATACTAATCTATGCTACGTGGGTAATTAATATCTGCAGCAGTAATTACTGTACTTACTGTAATTTTCAGGTAGAAAATCTTTTTATAAAGCCACATTATCTGACACAGAATGTTTAGTTGAGTCATATTTGGAGCGTAGTTAATGCATAGTGTCCTGGATCTTTGACTGTAGACAAGCTATCAACTAAATTTAAGTTATCGGAATTGTATTGACTGAAACCCAGTGTTGACCTGATCTTGACAGGCTGGACCTGCATGATATGGCTTGGATTTCTAACCCAAGTTATAACCTAGTCTTTAGCGAATTAATTTAGTCATATGAGAAGAAAGGAAAGTTGCTGAAAAGTAGTGGGAGAGGTAAGGTTGTAGTTAAATTATTCAGAGGATGCTAACTTCCTTCCAAGAGTAATTTAAGCACATAACTTGAGGAAAAAACTTTCCAGGTGGTCTCACTTTCTTGCAGTAACTTTTGCATTGCCCTCTGCTGCTGGAAACACTTCCTACAAGCTTTGCTGCTGTAATGGCTTGAGCATTGGATCAAGTGCAAGTGCAGCCTGGTGTAGCTAAATGGCAGTAGGGTTAAGAACTCGTGTATAAGGAAGATACTTGTATGGCTTTCGTGTAACTTCTGGTTATTGCATATAGGGCATTTTAAAATTAAGCAGATGAGGCCTAGAGGTTTTCCTAACATGCTACTTACTAGATATGTTTAGCTGTTGTGTTCCCAGAATTGGACTTTTTGTAATATAGTTAATAATTAAGCATCACAGTTTATTAATCAAACTTCTGTTCCAGGTTTTGGGAGCTCTAAAGTTACATTATTGAATAAAACTTTGATTTGTAGATACTGGCCAAAGAAAGCTTTTGGTTTTTCTATTTCTTTTTCTTCATACGAAAAGAACACTCACATTCTGTGGTGTCCAGGTTAATATTTACTTTAAAGTAGTGTTTGTACATGATAAATTTCTGGCATAAAGACTGCAACAGCAGTTAAGTTAGTCATAACTGCATGCTTCAGCACTCCGCCACTTGCACTCTGAGCAGAAGATAGCATTTCATGATACTGGTGCATTGTTGCTAAACATTGTAATGAAGGCCTCTCTTATATATTCTGGTTAAATGACTGTCCAGGTAGCCTTAGCAATTAACAAACTAGCATGAGGCTTTTGTTTCTCAACACTCTATGTGCATAGACAGTATCAGCTAGCCACTTGTACGTTTGAAATCCATAAGAACTTCTCAATCATTCAGTTTTCCATTTATCGAACTGAAACTTTTAGTATGTGAATTTTTGAAATGTACAGTGAATAGGATGTTGCACTGGTGGCAATTCATCATGGAGCATAATAAAATTAATTTGACCCAACTAGCGTAAAACTGTGTTGTTTTTAAGTGCTAACTGGGGCACAGCTTTTAAAATAGATCTGTATATTCATTGCACACTTCAAAAGTGACTTTGGTCCCCTAGCCAAACTCACAAAGCACTAAATAGCCGCTGTCGAGTCGCAGCAGTTTTGGTGTCTCTGGGAGGTTGGGTTGTGCCTGTGAATAAACACAATGCGGGAGAATGTGACACCCCGGCCTCCTGGCAGGCCTCTGGAAACAGCTCCTGCTGCAGGCCAGTGCACTGATCCAGCAGCTTCAAGGTCAAACAAAGGTGGCTCCAGTAACAAACACCAGAAGGAGTACTCGATAGTTAACTCTTGTCAGTGAATGCTGTAGCTCATGAGGCTTTTACTGATGTAAATCTTTGTCTTGCATGTGGTAATGTTTGTGCTCAGGACACTTCAGAAGTCTGCTGAAGAATCCAGTATTTTGAATTTTTACCTAGTTTACACTTTCTTTTGAAGTTTAATACTCTGGTTTTTAAGCCTTATGTGCAAGGCAGAGTTTTTACTTAGAGGGTGTGCTGAGGCATGTTATTATTTCCTCTAAGTAAATGGAAGTTTAAAACATGCTTTTGAAAGGAGGCTCTTCTTTAATTTTTTTATTTGACAGTGCTTACTTTCCGAAGTAAGATTCATGTAAAGAGGGAAAAGGAGGAGAGAGCTTTCTGGTTTTAAGACTGTTACCAATTCACTGCAACAGCCTTTATCTAATCATTAGATGAATTCCTGGTCTAATTAAAGTTCCTGGAGCTTAAGTACGGTGATAAGCAGTTTTATTTATAGAAAAGTGAAAATGGTTTAGGGAAGCTTAGGAGATACTAAAGCTTTGTCTCTCAAAGGACCAGTGCTATCTCCCAGCACTGCAGCGAGGACTGCTGTTGCTGTTGCTGTGTACTCGTTTACTGCCTGGAGTTTGTGTGTGAGTGAGAGGAAAGGATGGGGTCCTATGAACTAGACCACGAGGAGGTTTAACGTCCATGTTTAAATTTGCTCATCAGTGAAACCAGCCTGGCACTTCTCTCTGAGGTGGCTTTTGGAGGTTTGATGATGTAGTTTTTAAATCACCAAACTGCTATGGCACTTGAAAAAATAAACGGTTAGTTGTTAGAAAGAACAGATTTTAAATTCATGCAGATACCTTTTGAGAAGTAGAATCATTGCATCAGTATTAAAATATAAATAGTGAGTTGTCTGACACTTTATTTCATGCTGAATTTTACAGTATTTGCAGAGTAAGCTGCTAGAGTGGGCTAAAATAGTAATTTATCAGCTATTCAAATCTTTCATGTGGTTTTGGGTAATACCTGCACGACTTACTCATTTATAAACAGCGTAATATGCACCTGAAATTGTGAAGCTTGCTATTTTACATTTATTGTGTTTTTCCTTTATTAGTACTGACAGACAAAGGCCTTTCTGCTTGTGCTCTGAAGAGTTTTTGGAGTCTTTGGAGTGAAATTCTTGAGCCATTACTTCACGTGTGTGTTTTTTCCCTCCCTGAAGCGTAGTCGTGTTTTCTGAGTTTTGTTGCTGAAGGAAAAAACTTCAGAGAAACTTTGAAAAACAGAACAAGTTTGGAAACAGCCGTCACCAGCATTTTATTTTTGTATGTGCTAGCTGGGGGACACAATAGGATCAGGAGTTTAAAGCTTAAGAAATCTGATAATGCTTGTATCCTATGTCAGACACAAAGTATTTGTTTAAATGACATCAGCAGGCCCACAGAGTGGGGGATCGGCTCTTTTGGATGTCGATGTCAAAAAAACAGGCAACTGCGGGAGCAGCTGAGCTGGATTTGGAGCCCTGTGTTGGTAGATGAAGCTTTCCCAGATGCTCAGGATACAGGGAACACGATGTTGAGAAGCTTGCATCCTTTTTGGTCATTTTTTCTTCACTAGATGCTACTAAGGATTTCCTAGTTCAAATAGCCTTTAGGACCAAAACAGTGCTTATTTCATCATCAAGGGAAGAAACTATTTCAGCATTTAGTCCTTTCTCAGGATTATGCCTGTTCAACTGTCAGCAGAGAATCTGTCTTTAAATTCAAAATTAAATGGAAAAAGCAGTCTAGACCCAGTTAACATAAACCACGTTTCCTGTGGTTAGTCTCCTGGGGGTTATCTGTGTAAGCACGAAAGGCAAGTGGCTAAGGCAGAAATAGTAATTCTTTTTCAAGGACCTACATCAAGAATTGAACACTTTCACCTGTAGTAGCTTTAATACCCTAATCCTTAGGGAAAACGTTGCTGAATTTTACCTGCAGTTCCTAAGACAGGTAAGAACAGGAGTGGTTCTGGAGAGCAAGTGGCCTCTCTGCTGCCAGTTGTGTTAAACAGCACTCAGGTCTGCATTTGATATTTTTGACTGCCAATAGTGGGTGATCTGGTACAAAAACAAATACCAAGCTCTTTGTATCAAAGCAGGTGCCAAAAGCACATGTCAGGGAACATATAGCCCATGGTATTGCTGTGTGGTTGTTTCTGAAATGGGGGCTCTGTTGATTAGTTTTTAGCATCCCCTCCAGCTCCTACCTAGGTTCTGTGCTGCCCTTTTCATATGTGAATGTCCTGATTTTGCTGGGATAGATTCATAGATTCAATATTCTGCTCAAGAAAGCTGCATTTTTTTTTATAGACTACAGCACTGGATTTGGTGGGAATAATGTTGATTACACACTTTGTTTTAGTTTGTGTCCAGCCCTAGTGTGCAGGTTGCCGCAGTGATCAAGGTCTTTAGCAGTTTCGAGTTACC